AGTCGCAAAAGGCAAGATGGGTCTCGGAGGACACGTCCATTGTTCAACTCGGCCCATCCTCCAAACAGACCCCAAGAGTGATTCCATGCACCTGCCAAACCTCCTGTTTATGAATGAAAAATGGTTTACACACAGCTCACAACTGATTTCGTTCAAACATTTCCGGAACAGGTAATTCGTTGTAAAATTTTAATTGGCACACGACAGTTTACTTTGAAGACAACGTTTGTTGGTATGCGTATGGGTTGAATGAGCACGTGGTGCTGGAAGCGTGGGCAAGGCGCTCTGTTTACAAGTCTATCGCGCATAGTGATGACCTCGGCCGTGCTTTGAATTCTTTGTGAAGAATTTCATTGTCTGCTTTTTGCTTTTATGTTAAAGTTTTTATTATATATCACGCCATGGGTCCCAAGATGGATGATGAGAGGACTGGATGGTGGAGGAACTGGATGGATGGATGGATGGTGGGGTAACTGAATGGATAGATGGATAAGGGGTGGATGGTTGGGTAACTGAATAGATGGATGGTGGGGGTACTGGGTGGATGGAGGGATAGTGGGGGAACTGGATGGATGGATGGTGGGGGAACTGGGTGGATGGATGGTTGGTGGGGGAACTGGATGGATGGATGGTGGAGGAAAGTGGATGGAGGGATGGTGGGGGGAAAGTGGTTGGAAGGATGGTGGGGGGAAAGTGGATGGAAGGAAGGGGAGGGAAGGTGGGGGGGGGGAGTGGATGGATGGTAGGAAGAACCACCCTCCCCCACACCGCACCATCCCCACGTCCCCCATCCCGCTACTGGACCCTCCCCACAACCCCCATCCCACTACTGGACCCTCCCCACAACCCCATCCCACTACTGGACCCTCCCCACTACCCCCATCCTGCTACTGGACCCTCCCCACAACCCCCATCCCACTACTGGACCCTCCCCACAACCCCCATCCCACTATTGGACCCTCCCCACTACCCCCATCCCACTACTGGACCCTCCCCACTACCCCCATCCCACTACTGGACCCTCCCCACTACCCCCATCCCACTACTGGACCCTCCCCACTACCCCATCCCACTACTGGACCCTCCCCACAACCCCATCCCACTACTGGACCCTCCCCACTACCCCCATCCCACTACTGGACCCTCCCCACTACCCCCATCCCACTACTGGACCCTCCCCACAACCCCATCCCACTACTGGACCCTCCCCACTACCCCCATCCCACTACTGGTCCCCACAACCCCCATCCCACTACTGGACCCTCCCCACAACCCCATCCCACTACTGGACCCTCCCCACTACCCCCATCCTGCTACCCCTCCCCACAACCCTCATCCCACTACTGGACCCTCCCCACAACCCCCATCCCACTACTGGACCCTCCCCACTACCCCCATCCCACTACTGGACCCTCCCCACAACCCCCATCCCGCTACTGGACCCTCCCCACTACCCCCATCCTGCTACTGGTCCCTCCCCACAACCCCCATCCCACTACTGGACCCTCCCCACAACCCCCATCCTGCTACTGGACCCTCCCCACAACCCCATCCCACTACTGGACCCTCCCCACAACCCCCATCCTGCTACTGGACCCTCCCCACAACCCCCATCCCACTACTGGACCCTCCCCACACCCCCCATCCTGCTACTGGACCCTCCCCACAACCCCATCCCACTACTGGACCCTCCCCACAACCCCCATCCTGCTACTGGTCCCTCCCCACAACCCCCATCCCACTACTGGACCCTCCCCACTACCCCCATCCCACTACTGGACCCTCCCCACAACCCCCATCCTGCTACTGGACCCTCCCCACAACCCCCATCCTGCTACTGGTCCCTCCCCTCAACCCCCATCCTGCTACTGGACCCTCCCCACAACCCCCATCCTGCTACTGGACCCTCCCCACAACCCCATCCCACTACTGGACCCTCCCCACAACCCCCATCCCGCTACTGGACCCTCCCCACAACCCCCATCCCACTACTGGACCCTCCCCACAACCCCCATCCCACTACTGCACCCTCCCCACTACCCCCATCCTGCTACTGGTCCCTCCCCACAACCCCATCCTGCTACTGGACCCTCCCCACAACCCCCATCCTGCTACTGGACCCTCCCCACAACCCCATCCCACTACTGGACCCTCCCCACAACCCCATCCCACTACTGGACCCTCCCCACAACCCCATCCCACTACTGGACCCTCCCCACAACCCCATCCCACTACTGGACCCTCCCCACTACCCCCCATCCCACTACTGGACCCTCCCCACTACCCCCATCCCACTACTGGACCCTCCCCACAACCCCCATCCAACTACTGGACCCTCCCCACTACCCCCATCCCACTACTGGACCCTCCCCACAACCCCCATCCCACTACTGGACCCTCCCCACTACCCCCATCCTGCTACTGGTCCCTCCCCACAACCCCCATCCCACTACTGGACCCTCCCCACTACTGGACCCTCCCCACAACCCCCATCCCACTACTGGACCCTCCCCACAACCCCCATCCTGCTACTGGTCCCTCCCCATCCCACTACTGGACCCTCGATCCCCACTGCGTCCATCCCCTCACCGCCCCCTCCTCCAGCTGTACTCTCCCTGCCACATCTGGATCTTATTAATACAGAACGCTTCCTTCCTGCCAACTGGTAAAGCGGAGGCAGACTGCCTCAGACTGTTGCTTGATATTAAACTCTTGTTGTTTTCTGTTAATGGCCGATTGACTGTTAACGGCCGATTGACTGTTAACGGCCGATTGACTGTTAACGGCCGATTGACTGTTAACGGCCGATTGACTGTTAATGGCCGATTGACTGTTAATGGCTGATTGACTGTTAATGGCTGATTGACTGTTAACGGCCAATTGACTGTTAACGGCCGATTGACTGTAAATGCCTAACTGGTTGCTACCACAACTGTGAATGCTTGAAATGTATGACTGACTTGTGACTGGTTTTGACTGGCTGCCACATAAGAGGCAGCGAAATGTTTGAAAGGAAAATTGGAACGGATTAATTCAGTTTACATTTCTTATGGGAAAATTCGTTTTGGTTGACAAATTTTTGTATGGCAATGTGTCTGGGAGCAGATTACGATCATGGGCAAAGTTACAAAGGTGTATTATAATGTTAATTTATACATGAGAAAATTCCTGTTTTGAATGAACAGCATGTAAAAATTTATGAATGCATCTGTGGGGTCAACCGTTGGATGTAATGGGCTCGAATCAAGGACAGGATGGTTCAACTAAGTCCCAACGGGGGTTTCCAGGGCCTGCAGGAGGATGTTTTCCTACGGGAAGCCCGGGCACTGGTGCTGCCAAAGCTGGTTGTAACCTCGTATGTTATCCTGGCAAACTGGCCCCTCTGAGGTTAACAACCTCAGAGGCCCAGAGGAGGACTGTTTGACTGAACCTAGGCATCACCTAATAGGAACCTCCGGCAGCCTCCCACCGGGCAATAAAGAAAGCAAAAAGTAGGAAAGAGAACCCCAGGGAAGCACCATAACCCAGGGGATCAGAAAGGCACGGCTGCTGCGATTATGCAAGCTGGGCAGCCCAGCACGCCCCAACCAGCAACCATCACCACCTACCCAGGGTCAAACAAAAGTACCAAGACCTAAACCGACCCCAAGGGTGAGGCAGAAAACCAAGCAAGCTGCTACCTCTATGGGAATGGGAACCCAAAATACCCAAAGAAAACTGAGCCCTCAAGGGGTGTACTCACAGGGCGCTTAGAGATGGGAGCCCTAAGCGTATGCAGCCATTGGTTAGGAACTCCTGGGCCACGGCCAATGCACAGCAGGAACTCTGGCAGGGTGAAGACATATCAGGCAACCGAGACCAGAGCAGATGTCCACCCTGTTTAGCGTCAGTCAACAAACTGATGGTCCAGCTCGGTTGATTGGGACCCTCCTCTAACCTTTCCGTGAGGGGGGCGGGGTAGAACGAGCGGCGTGCAGTGTAATGACGGTGTTGCTTGTTACCTTGTTTTCCTTGGGGGATTGGGGAGTTTCTAGCCTATGTTTGGTCTCAGGTTGGAATTTTTCTACCAAGAGGGGTCTGTTTTGAAGCGCCTACCTTTCTGGATTCTCAACCCTGGTCGATGGCAGACGTGAATACTTTATTACCAAGTTTCATAGGCTATTGCTCTCTGTGCCTCTCTGAGAGGACCATGTTTTGACTATTGGTCCCCACTAGACATGACAACTCCATATCACTGAAGCCTCATACTAATATTAGCTAATAGCAGTCGAAGAGTTCCTGGGAGCCGATGGGGCTCCCCCACAGAATAATCCCCAAATTTTAGCAGGAACTACAGACTTTAGCATGGGACATAGTTTTGAGGAGATTTGCATTTATAACATTAGAAAATATTTCTTTAATTTTTCTGGTAATGAATTGTTCTAGCATAATTCTTAGTTATTCTATATTATTTAGATATACAGTACAGATCATAGGCCCGTCATTCCCCAGACAGTCCCTCCATACCCTCCTCTCTCTCCCGATAACCCCTACCCCAAAACTAGTTACTTCAACACCTTCCATATCACGCGCCTCGAGCCATTACTGTACAGGATTAGTACGGTATGGCCCAGTGCCTGTCTGTAGTATCCGACAAAATCTCCAATTATCTTAAGTGCTACTTGGTTATGGCAAAGTTTTGCCAGAATTATCCAGTCATAAAAATCACCAGATGATCCGAATCACCAGATTTTGCAGTAAGATAACCTGAAGATTCGGATCAGTGGGCTTCAAATAAGCGAGCTCATGCAGTATTTTTCTTAATTATTTATGAAAGTTAAGGTAGAACTGCTTAATGCTGAAGTGGAGTAAATGTGGATAGTGAAAAAAGCTCTTGCAGCATGAATATCTTGAGTAAATTGTATTTTTCTCCAACCTGTGAAGTCAACGTGTTCATAAAGTACTTGACTGCAAAACTATTTGGTTAATTTGATGTCTCATGAATGTTTTATGCATTGCAGGTCCAGATTATGCGGCTGTGAATGTACCACGTGTGGCAATCATACGTGAGGAAGGCACTAATGGTGACAGGGAAATGGCAGCGGCACTCCTTCAAGCTGGTTTTTGTGTGCATGACATAACTATGACTGATCTCTTGGGTGGAAACATAAAGCTGGAGGGGTTCCGGGGTTTGGTTTTCCCTGGAGGATTCAGCTATGCTGGTGAGGAAATGTTAATTTTTAAGGGAAAATGACCATTTGCACAGATTAAAATTGTGAAATTTGATGTTGGCTTATCTTGATATATTGCTTGCATGATACTAGTGTAGGTCGTAGGATCTTGGATTTGTTTCAGCAACTTTTAAATTGATACGAACATAAGCTAAATGTGACATTGGCTTTTATTACTGTGGTAAAAGTGCCAGATTTTTACATGAGAGAATTTGTAATGTTAATGGGTGCCTCAAAGAGCTTGTGACCATGGAGAAAGTTGGAGAAGCAAAGCTTTAACCCTTACACTGCTCAGGGGTCCTTGGGACATTTACACCCCTGTGCGCAAGAAAAAAAAAATTCAAAATTTTTTTTTCGTCTTCTAAACATGTTAATTTGTGTCCCCTGAGCACGGAAAAAAAAAAAAAAAAATCGTAGGTGACATATTTTGGGCGCAATTGACCGAGGAAGTCTGGCAAAAAGTGGGCGTTGACAGAGCGGTCGTCAGACCCGGTCAGCGTCACCCACGCTGACAGATGGGAGTTGCCACAAAGATATTATTACCTTATTGTTTCAATGTCTTCGATTGATTTTTTCTTAGTTTTTTTGCAGTAATATTATTCAATAGTGTGTATTGTAATATATTTATATAATAAAAGTGGTGAATAATCGCTATACTGTACTCAAAAGTATGATGTGCATATTAGTGATTCAATTATTATGTTTATAAAACAATAAACAAATAGTTTTGCTGCTATTACACTCTATACGCAGGTTATATATAAGTATCTGCATGTTTTGGTCACCATAACGAACCACTAAGTTGGTATTGAGAGCCGAAAAGCAACGAAGAGTTACCGCCACACACCAGCCAGCCACTCGCTGCCACTACCTCAACACACGCACTAAACTTTCTCCCCCAACAATACCAGTTGTGGTATTATTACACTATATACAGACGTTATATATAAGTATGTATATATTTTGTTCACCACAACTGTACAGCTAAGCTGATATAGTTAGTTCAGGCACTAAGAGTCGTCGTTATACACAGATGGCGGCTCCCTCACTCATTCAAGGTCACACGCACTAAACTTTCTCCCCCAACAATACCTTTTGCAGCGTTATTACCCTATATACACATATTATATATAAATTTCTACATGTTTTATGCACCGCAACTGTACACCTAAGCTTGTAGTGCGCCCAAAGAGCATAGTGGCCACCCTCTAAACAGCTAGACAAATCGTGCAGACGACGTCACCTCCGTCACCCATATAGCTCCTCCCAGCATAATCCTTTTGCTGTTATTACAAATTGTAGGCAGTACATTATATATAAGTATCTACATTTGTGTTCACCATAGAGAACCACTGATCTCGTATGGTGAATGCAAACAATAACAGCTAGCCACACAGTCAGTAAACGATGCTGTCTCCCTCCATCTCTCAGCATCACTCCTCCCACAGCGCTAATTATTACAACAATCCTGCTATTATCACAACCCTGGTTATTTATATCACAGTCATGGGTCATCTGTAATAGTGTCATCGCTAAATAATAACAATTATATATTTATTTTGACATTTTTCGGCGATGCTGTGGTCACAACCTGAACAGCAATGCTGTTCGCTCATGCTGCGTGCGCCGGCCTTGGTTGCTCCAACAGTACTGTGCCTCTCACACCTGAGAATATTGCCCACGATTTTTTTTTAAAATGGCATCTGTTTACAAGAGCCCTGAGGACGCTACTGTGAACCCCGTGAAGCCGCGGGCCATTTGAATCAGGCCTGGCACCCTATGGCGTATATATACGCCATGCGCACCATGGGACATGTTACTCAGGGCGTATATATACGCCATGCGCAGTTTAAGGGTTAAATAAGAAAAAGTAAAATAGGGTGTAAATATATTTGTTAACCGCTAGGTGGCGCTTCTTATAGCCAACACATCGCTGTTTGCAAGAAAAGACAAATCTATTAGTTTGGTTCCTCTAAGATTGTTAAAATGTGTTCCTGATTACAAGAAAAATAATACTAAAATCGTAGGTGACATATTTTGGCCGCAGTAGAGCGAGGAAGTCTGGCAAAAATCGGGCCTGACAGAGTAGGCATCTGGGGGTCTTTCTCCTCCACCCGAGCTGTCAGGCAGGAGTTGCCACAAATATATTATTACCTAATTATTTCATTTTTCATTTTTTTCCAGTAATATTATTCAAGGGTGTGTAGTGTGATATTTATATGATAAAATGTGTGAACCATTGCTATCTCAAAAGTATGATGTGCATATTAGTGATAAAATTATTATGTTCATAAAACAATAAAAAAGTTTTTACTTTTATATATAACATGTATATAGTGTAATAATTATCTGCAGGTTTTGTTCACCATAACAAACCACTAAGCTAGTACAGTGCATCGAAACAGCATAGTGGCCACCAACACACCAGCCAGCAGACAATGCTACCTCGCTCACCAAAATGGCTCCTCCCAACATACTCCATTTGCTGTTATATAAAAAGCATGTAATAAATACTGCATCTTCATTTGTGTTCACCATAATGAACCACAAAATTGGTATGGTGAGTCCAAACAATAACAGTAGCCACCACACACCAGCTAGTGGACACCTCCCTCCCTCATAAACCACCACATTTGCCAACATTCCTCCTTCCACCATACTGTTTGTGTTATTACCCTATATACACATGTTATATATAAGTATCTATATTTGTGTTCACCATAATGAACCACTAAACTGGTGTGGTGAGTCAAGACAATGAGGTGACAAAGGTCGCCACACGCAGTCAGTTTTCTCCTCCCATCATAATAATAATAATAATAATAATACTTTATTTACAATAATAATAATAATAATTTATTTACAATAATAATAATAATTATTTACAATAAAGTACAATGGGTTGGTTAAATTACATTAGTGATAATTTTACATTCTTGCAAAGCCAATAACACGTAAAGCGTTTCGGGCAAGACCTTAACTCTTAAACTGCGCAACGTGCCTGCAGACCCATGTCTGGTTTGCGCAACGCGCCTCCGGGTATTTTTATTTTTCATGTTCCATTCAAAACTCCCGCAGCTACATGGGGTTCACATCAGCTTCCTTGGGGCTCTTGTAAACAGACTCCATCTTTTAAAAAAAATCATGGTCCACATTCCCGGGTGTGAGAGCCTCAGTAGTGAGTGAGCAACCAAGGCTGGTGCTCGCAGCATGAGTGCACGCTCTGCTGTTCAGTGTGTGACCACAACATCGCCTAATAATGTCAAAATATATATGTAACTTGTATTATTTAGGCATGATAGTATTATAGAAGAGCCTGAGTGTGATAATGACTGGGTACAATGTTTAACCCTCAAACCGCGCATATCATATATAAATGATATCAGTGACAAAACCGAAACCACACACATCATTTATATATGATTTCGTGTCTAGCGCTATAATTTAAATGCCCCGCCTGGGATAGGGGCAGCTATAGTACAGCCACGACCGATAGTTGCCAGATGCCACCTAGAAAAAACATCCAGGCCAACATTCTTGGGTGTTACAACGTCAGTATTGAGCAAGCCACCAAGGCTGGCGCACGCAGCACGAGCTCACAGCACAGCTGTTCAGCTTGTGACCACAGCATCGCCTACAAATACCATAATATAAATGATACTGCTATTATTTAGCAGTGATAGTATTACTGAAGCCCCTGACTGTGATAAAACTGACCAGGATTCTGATAATAGCAGGATTGTGGTGATATTTAGCGCTGTGCTCCATGGAGGGAATAAGGCTGTGGGAGGGAGGGTTGTGGCGTCGTTTTCTGACTGTGTGTGGCCACCATTTATTGACTGCACTCACCATACCAGCTTAGTGGTTCGCTATGCTGAACACGAATGTAGATACTTATATATAACGTGTGTATAGTGTGAGATAACAGCGAGAGGAGTAGGTTGGGAGCCGCCATTTTGGTGAGGGAGGAGCGTCGTCTGCACGACTTGGCATGTTGTTTACTGATGGCCACTATGATCTTTGGGCACCATACCCTGGAAACACAAACAGAAACTGTCTCTATTTTCCGCTTGTTACAACTTGTAATAAAGTTGTTACATCTTGGCTTAACATGTTTATGACGTATTAGAACGTTGTTACAACTTGCTATATTGGTTGTTATAACTGGTTAGGAAGTGTTAAAACTTGTTAGAACGTTGTACCAACGTCGTAGTTTCGGTGTGTGTTTGCGGGGATACCAGCTTATTTGTTCAGGTATGGTGAATAAAACAGGTAGATACTTATATATAATGTGTGTATATAGCGTAATAACACCACAAACAATATTGTTGGAGGACAAATATTAGTGCGTCTGGCCTTGAGGGCGGCCGCCGATCAGCTGACTGTGTGAGTAGCTTCATCTTTGTTGCTTTACTCACCATACAAGCTTAGATGTACAGTTATGGTGAACAAAACATGTAAATACGTATATATAACGTCTGTGTATAGTGAATAAATACAGGAAGAGTATTGTGGGAGGTGAATGAGGGTGAGTGAGGTGGTGTTGAGGGAGGGAGTGGCAGCGAGTGGCTCGCTGGTGTTTGGCGGTCACTCCTCGTTGCTTTTTGACTCACAAGACCAACTTAGTAGTTTGTTATGGTGTACAAAACATGCAGATACTTATATATAACCTGTGTATATAGTGTAACAACAGCAAAACTATTTATTTATTGTTTTATGAACATAATAATTGAATCACTAATATGCACACCATAATTTTGAGTACAGCGATGGTTGACACATTTTATAATATAAATATACCACAATTCACTGTATGGAATAATATTACTGCAAAAAAAACTAAGAAAAAATCAATCGGAGACATTGAAATAATTAGGTAATAATATATTTGTGGCAACTGCCGTCTGACAGCTCGGGCGGAGTAGACCTCATCTGGCGAAGGCTCTGCCAACGCCCCTTTTTTGCCGCACTTCCCTACCCTATTGCGGCTA